TGTATGCTGAAAAGATTGCTAAGCTTGCTTCAACCGCAGGAGTTGCGCAAATTGACTGACTCAAAGTGCCACTTGATGAGCATCACCATGACGACTACAAGTACAGTATGGTGAGTCAAACACATAGTATGCGTGACCCTGGAAGCTAATGCGACATAGCCCGCAGGCTACCACGACCCTTACTATACTAATACTACTGTCCTCATGCTACGATTACTAATCCTAATCAAGCTCTCATCTGCTTAACATCCCGCCGCTTTTCCCCCAATCTACGAAGAAACGCTTCAAGCCCGGCTCCCGCGGGCGCGTGAGGGACTCCCAGGTGTCGGTCTCCGAGATGGTGATCCTTATGTTAGGGTTTATATAGGGTTTAGGGTATAGGGTATAGGGTATGTATATCTAACTATATGGTATCGTGTGTATGTATATATATATATGTTACAGAATGGCTTCCGGCTTTTGGGGAGTAGGGTTTAGGATTAGTGTGCTCTACCCTAGGGCCGTAAGGCTCCAGTCATTTAAATAGTATACGTGTCTAAGCACAGGATATGGAACCCAGTAAGGATATATATATATATATATATTCAGGGAACTGAAGCCCTCGGGTGAGCGTTGGGCTGGGAATCTGGTTTGGGGTTACAGGAGTTCGAAGATTTCAGTGGACTTTGGGGGGCTTGGGTTTGGAGGTTCGGGGATTTGTGGGTGCAATGTCTCTTCTAATCAAGCTCCATCTTGAACCCTGAAAAACATGTAGAGCCGATGGCTGTGATTTCAGCTTGTATCGCGGAGGTTGCATGAAGGTTGGCATGGCCCTTGTAATTTCCATGGTAAGTACCTTCGGGCTGAACAAAAAGCAGCGGCTTCTTCGCAGGCACTACAGGGTCTCATGTCTAACCCTTTGTTCAAAGTGTGAAGCGATTGGACAAGGCCATGTAGCTAGGCCACGGTAGCCCATGCGTCTTTGTGGAATGCGGTTGAACCACCCGCACCCCGAACCCCAACAGCTACAACCCGTCCACTTCCAACCACACAGCATCCCAACTCACTCCAACTGCCGCCGCCCATAACACCTACGAGCAGATCCACTAAACCAAACGAACCCCAAAGACGCCTCAACTCATCCCAAACTCACACACACTCCGACTTCTACAGTCCGCACTCTTGGGCTTTGAAATCCTGAAACCCCCGAAGAAGACGCTTTCAGTCATAGACTCGACCCGCAAAGCAGCTGCAGCTTGAAGATAGGGAAGCCTTGCTCACGCAGCCGAGCCTGAAACGCACGGCTGTGGGGGAGCTCGGGTTTAGGATGATGCAAGTCCCTGAACTGAGGCCTTGCGCGTTTGTTGCCCTTGCCGTCATAATTCCCATGGAGCTACTAACCAGCGGTGGAATCGCTGTAGGTCACGGTTCTGATATGATCTTGCCTTACATGTTTCTTGTTCATTTCAGTTCGATGTCGCTTGGAGCTCTGTCTCTGTCCTATCGACCATGCAAACCAGCACAAACCCATACACAGCCGCTGATTGGAAGGACACCACAGCCGACCAAAGCAGAAGGTAACGCAGGAGACATGGAGCAAACCGTATAAACATGACGTGCAACCTCAAAATGCTTCCTTTCTGCTTCGCCACAACTCATAGATTATTTTTAAAGGGCCAATGCTAAACCGTTTCCTTCACATGGTCGAGCAGAAAGCCGTCGGCTACCACGCTCTGCTCCTCGGAAAGCAGAGTCTCTTTTTGGCAGGTTTCAGAACATGTTGGAGCTTAGAGCTTCGGGTGTTGGGAAAGACCTTTTCGGATTCGGACGGCACGCTTCGCGAGAGATCCTAAGAGTTTCGGTGCTTCCTGGCCCCCGGGTCACCAAACAAGTAAGTAACCCAGGTGTGCGCACAACCATCTTCTAAAAAGGTCCCGTTAAACCCCACTCAAGGGACAAAGACGAAACGGGGATTAACGGCACGTCCTAAAGGGGATAGTGGTCCTGCTCCGGTGGGCTGCTCTGTTCAAGGCGTGATCAATGCTCTAAGTTCGCAAACATGAAGCACAAAGGTCTGAGGGTTTAGGAAGTTTAGGGTTGATGGTTTAGGGCCCAAGTACTGGCAATGGCGAGATGATCTTCCCAAAGAACTCAACAGGAAAAACCTAGTGAAATCTAGTGCGGGAGAGCTTACCAGGGCGTGTTGCACTATGAAAGTATAAGGGTTACAGGGGGTTGCTCTTGTTTACAGGCACTGAACTAGGTTTTGTGTCACGGCTCCGCGTTTTGGGATATTTTCTAAGGACCAGGTCCTAGCGGACCTCACATCCTGAACTTACTGGCTGCATCTCGCTGCTACGAGGGTAGCGAAAATCTATCCTTGACGGGCATGAGTCTTATTGCTCCTCACATGGACACTGCGCCCCAAAATCTACAAATGTGGCTACTACAGAGAATCTTATGGTTGCACCGCACTTCGCATAAACCCTAGACTTGTAAATGCAGTATGTTACACCGTCCCATTCCGGAACATTCCTGCAGCCCTCAACAATGTCGGATTGTTTCAAGATTTCCTGCATGGCTAGATACCAGTAAGTCCTCATGGGGCTTCTTTTTGAAAAAGCATGGGTTTTGTTGAAACGGAGGGCGTTGGACGTACGTAGGTCCTGCTCAATAACAAACCTTCAAATCCAAGATTCGAGCTCAGCAGCGATATCGCCCGAGATTAGCCGAACCTGAAAGCTCGGACCCACAGGCGCAAATGTTTTGGGGGTAGGGTCTCCTGGTTGCGCTCTGGCTCTGGGTTTGCTTGGCTGTGGGTATTTGAAGGGTTTGTGGCGACCTGAGGAGCTCCCCAGCTACAATACAGAATCTTCCACCACTGAGATCTATAAGTACACTCAAGATCATTCATTCATTCATATATATATATATATACAAATATATATAGAAAGTTGTGCGCTGCCACACGGAAGCTCGCGTTCTCGCCATGCTCTCTGACAGCAAACCTGCCTGCTGCCTTCTACGAACATCTCAGACAGGAACTTTGAATCGCAGTTGCCCGCACCAGTAAGACCAACAGCAGCAGCGACAAACCTGACTGCCATCGCAACACAAACCAAGAATCCCAAGAACCGTCACCTGAATTCTCGCAGCTCATCCTGAACCCAAGTAAAAACCCAAAGAGCCAGAGGTGCATGGAAGGTGAAGGCTTAGCAGACTAAATGTTTAGAGCAAGGTCTCTAGACTCAAGAAGACCTGTCGGGTCATAGAAGGTGTCTAAACCTGTAAAAATCGGAAAAAGTAAACTCTCATTGATGTGATCATCCGCCTTCACGGTGGGTGTTCTCGTCGGAGTTCTTGTCGCCGAATTGGCCCGGAGAGCCATGCGGGCTTCGCGAGGACGGGGCTCAGGGCTTACCGGATTTGCGTGAAAGACGGTTTAGGGCTTAGGGTTATACAGGAGCCCTGGTTGAGGGTTGAGGTCAAAGGGCTCGTGGGGGGCAGTGTCATCAATCCAAACGGATACGAAGCGGGTGGCATCATCCGGATAGGATTTAGGTGGGGAGGTTGTGTAACTAATGTATGGTGCTGGTGCTGCGAGTCTGCGTTGCGTTGTGATTGGCAGGAGTCCTGGCCTATGTAATGAGTCGGTACTTTTCTTGCTTCAGCTGAACTTAATCTTCATGTTCCAACTGCAGTCACTGGATTTGAGACGGCAGCGTAGGCGACACAATGCATGCCACGTTGCACGGAAGCTGCAAGAACCCCACAACAGAAAAGCTTTAGATGAAGACAAACCTGAACGCTCGAAATTGGACACAGAAGCCAACTTGAAACCCCAAATCTTTGCGACAGGCCGAGCACCGTGCGTTCGCATCAGCGCCTGGATGGCTGCTTCTGCATTGTGCGCCTCGATGTCTCTGCAAGGTCTTGGGTATGCTATGGACTTGACATCCAGGCAGCAGAGCCCAGTTTCGCAAGAAAACTGCAGAAAACACATGCGAGGCCCATGCCTGAGGGCTTACATGACGCTACAAAGCAGGTTCTTGACTCCCTGTTCTTCAGCTATTCAAGCCCTTCGAAGTCCTGCCAATGCAGCTGCTCAGACTTTCCGCTGTTGTTGAGGTGCACAACTGTTACCAACCATTTCATAATGCCGCTCTGGGCTGGTATTGTGGGGTAAGAATGTATTGACTACAACATGTCTTCTTTAGGACTTGTCGACAGAATAAGAAAATCAATTGGTGCACGAGTCTGTGTAGTTGTTTATTCCCCTGAGAGTATAGTCCCTTTAAATTAACCTTACATAGTCATATAGAGTACAATCTGCCCCAATGCCCTACTCTGTTTAGGTCCACAGTACTCATCGGAGAAGCCGGCAAGGTTCCCTGCAGAGCTGTGACCCAGGCAATAGCAGGCCGGCGGCAATATCTCAGCAGCATCCACTTATCATTTCCATACCTGTCGGTTCTCTGCAACTGCCGAGGACTTGGCTGAAAGATGAAACGCTTCAGATGTAGGACTGATCGGGTTGTACTCTAATGCTGGCTTACATTTGCTATAGAGACGACAACTTCGCATCGACAACGCCCGCATGCGCGGTGCAGTTGCATGTGCCCTGCGGCCCTACACGGGACAATAAGTACCAGCTGTCCTCCGAACAAGCTCAGGCTTTGGACTCATCTAGGAATGCTACGAAGATCTACGAAGCCAGCGTAGCAGATCGCACTGCAAAGGCTTCCACCTCAGGTACGTAACAGCATTCCATGCTCAACCTCTCGCAAATCCGAAAAGCCCGCGATGAGACAGGCGCACTGGAAAAGAAGGGACACCAGCCCAATCAGTGGTGCCAGAGGCATCAATGGCGCATAGATCAACTCAGCATACATAACTAGGCAGGAAGTAGGATATTGGGCTTTGGGGATTTGGCCGGCTAAGCCTCTTGGGCATCAAAACGTCCTGAAGAAGCGGCAAGTTGCGGCTCTCTGAGCAAAAATTCCAGAAGCTCTGTCGAGGTCTTAGAGCCTGACGCAGCAGAAGTACCTGTCAGGGAACAGGTCTGCGGCCTCGAAAAAACGAGTCCCTTCTTGCACTTGCTTATCTTGGACAGAGAAGTCACCCACAACCCGCAGCATCTGGGATTCGCATTCCTTCCCGGATTCAATACCCTACCATCACCCTACGATGGTTGCAGTACATCTAGAGCTTCGATATGCTTCGATGTTTGGGGGCTAACTAGTTCTGGCAGCCCAGGAAATGGGAACTCCAGGGTCATCAGGGCACGTCTTCTCCGCATTCGCATAGTGCCGCGGGAGGTCCATAATCGTGGGCTCGAAGCAGACCTGGTCATGCGCTGCTGCGAGAGCTAGGACATGCTAGGGAATATATTGCTAGCTATTAACCGAAGAAGGCAGGGTTTTCACAAAAGCTTCGCTAAGTAGGACGAAGTGGTTCACATAAGCAAGATAGCCGCAAGATGCAACCACCTGGCATGTCGAAATGGTTGGACTCAAAAACTCCCAGAATGTTCTGTTCCGGAATACTCTGCTCTGATTCCTGCCTGGTCACGCCTGGTCGAGCGAAAACACTGGAACGGATAACATACAAGGGGGATGGTCATATACTACCAGGACAGAACAAACAGTATCTCAGTAATTATATCTTCCTTCTCCAGAAATCGATTTCGCATTGCCCTGACGAACTGACATAGCAGCCTTCAGCAGATTTCAGGATCGACTGCCGCAAGTTCAAGAAAGTGTCATCTAGGCCTATATTGGTCTACCATCCAGTAATCAAACGCCCTGAGAACTGACAAAGAATCAGGTCCCGCTATCAACTTCAAACTGAGGCAGCAACTAGCTGCTCCATGAATCCAGCCCTAAATCCTAAACCCGTGAACCCCAAAACTCGTGAACATGTTTTCGAAGTACGGGTATGGCACAGAGAATGCCCTGGCATGTCGGGTCCGGCCCCATGGTCCCCTAGGTGACGGCACTATTCCCTCCCAAAAAAAGGGGCCCGCAATAAAGCTTCAGTAGTCTTCAGCCCAGACCCCGAACTTCGACAGAGTCTTGGAGCTGAGGCCTACGTCCCCAGAAACTTGAACCCTTCTAGGAACCTTTAAGCCTTAGAGGAACCTTTAACCCCCTTTACAGGTCCTTTCAGACTGTAAGGCCTCCTACAAGGGTTCAGCTAACGGTGCCAAGAAGGCTTCCTATAGGAACCGAGCTTTTGCCGAGGCAGTGGCTTCCCACGACCGCACCTGGCTAAATGGGGTGTGCAGAGGATGCTTCAAAGACGGGCCTTAAATTATAACTGCTAGAAGCTACATACAAAAGTACTTCTGGGATATGTTTTTGTATATAATTAAATCTAGTAAGGAGCCCGGAGGAATAGTATTGCTAGCCAAGTCGTACTTGGCTGGATGAGCTCAATTGCTGTCGCGAGGAGATGGATCTTGGGGTCACGATGAAGGCCCACCATGTGGGGTTTGGACTCGTTTGGATCGTGGCTCACGCATTGAATGTTGGGTGACCGTAAAGCTTGCTTTGGGCTTCGGCGCAGTCTTGAACCTGTAGCGGCATCCAACCCTGAGTCAAATGTCGCCGCCCGTCAGGTCTTGACCACAACAAAGAGTTTACTACGAGTAGTCAAAAGCCACAGAGTCAGAGGCTCTCGAAGCTGCACGGTGAGGGGCTTTTTGTGGCAGGTCAGCAGCAGCCAATGCACGCTCGCCGTTGTGGGAGGGAAAAGTCGTCAGCGCTGCAAGCTTTCCGGGCTCCGCTGGACGTGTCGGGTGGATAGAGTTAGCTATATGATATTATCTTAGATACTTTTATACCAATATAATATATAGTACGAGTAGACGAGTAGTACATCATATTTGCTTGGCGGCGCATCGAGCCCGAAGGTTGATCGCAACGATTGGCGAATGTCGATTGCAACTTGCCGGCTGCGTCTCTGGTCACTCTGACCCCCTGCGAGCCTTGTCTTCGGCAAACTTGAACATGTCCTTGTCGACTGGGTCCTCTGCATCGCAGCATAGTAAAGTATAATATGGTATTTTCAGGGTATATTACAGTACGTTATAGTAAATTATAAGGGTATACAGCCGAAGCTGCAGAAATATCGCGGGCGCTTGAAGTCTCACAGGTCGCCGGGTTCGGGATTCTCAAGGCAAAAGAGCATACTGTACGAAACAAAAATGTGCAATAATTTAATTTTCTGTGTTATACCATAATATACTATAACATACTATACTATAATGTAATATACTAGTATGGTAGCATATATAACATAATAATTCCTTGGAGTGTGTGCGCTGGAAAACCGCTGCTGGTCTGAAGGCAAGGCGGAGTTCCTACATTCATGGCCAGGGAGAAAGACCCGCCCTGACGGATTCTTGGGATCAATGCAAGCCGGTCGACTGCCGCAAGGTGCGTTCCAGCTCAAAACCTGGACCCACTTACCCTAAGTTCTGTGCCTCTCCGATGTATCCCGAGCCTGTAGAGCTCTAGCATACTGCATTGAAGATCTGCCGATCCTAATGTCAGGCATCACTCACCCAAATCCTTGAACACCTTATTTCCCTAAGCGCATGACGTTATGCCCTGATATGCCTACTCGCACCATCCCCTTTTGCTCCACAACCCCTGCCGAGCGATAACCATATACAGAGCCCATTAGAGGCCCTTCGACTCCCGCTACAAGTCCTCCTTGTCGCGATACTGATCCAGCTCTCGGTTGAGCTCCTGTTGGGGAAACTGAAAGTTGAAAGCGCAGCGTGCCAAATGCAGCGCAGGGATAGGGCCGCTACAAAGCTGTCTGAGACGACAGAAGCCAACCTCCTGTTCCGGACTCAGTTTTTGGCTTCTGTGGTTGAGGGCTCCAGATTTCGGCGCTGACCCGCAAGGTTTGAACCTTGCGGGCCACTGGTTTAACAGGTGCGAGGCGAGAGAGCCTCAATCAAACGGTGTGTTCCACAACTTCGGAGTCACTAGGTCCGAGTCGGATCACGTGCAGCAGTTGGTGGTTGAAACTGAGAGCATCCGAAAGCCTCACTCGATCCAGAAGCTCCTGGACCTTCTCCTCTGTCAGCCTGCGGCGAAAGAAGAAGTTCATGGCAAACTCGTAATCCTGCAGCAATGGATCCGCAACTGAAAGGACGGGTGCAAAGCTTTTCGGATCTCGAGACGAAGGCAATCTAGTCATTGCACGACGGGCAACGCCGTGAAAGCCGTACTTTTGCCAACCCGCCCCCTGCAACATAAGGTCCAGGATCTTCAGAACACCTAGTGGTATCTTCTGTCTGGCTTAGACTGCTTTGATCCAGATGGGTACTAACCTCCGATAGGCGGGTCCATCAGGAACATCAGCGGAGGAAAGATGAAGTTGAGCGCCTGGGATTCGGGCCAGATGCTCTGATGGACCGTTGTGACTATTGGCCCGAAACCTAAGTACTGTGGTACTTAAGTCTAGGGCTTCAGGTCACTGCCTGGGGCTTCGGTCGCAAAGGATAGTATAGTAAGTACAGTAGCAGGGACTTTTTTCTCTTGTGGTTGTGTTGGGGCCTGGGTGTGGGAAGTGTCTACGGATAAATTGACTTTGAAGGGACAGGTATTCACGAAACATGTCCGTTTCTGAGGCGTTCACGTCCCTACAAACCCGCCCGGAAAGTCGGAAGAACGCTCCGCCCGGCGGAAAAAACAAGCGTCCCGAGCCTGAAACTGACAAACTCTCAAGGTAGTAGCGGGGCTCATGCTTAGGGTAAGGGTGTCTTCGTACTTCGTAACCCTAAACCCTATAGACCCCACAACCCTTTCGGCCTATAGATCCCGAGGGCGAGCTCAGCCCGCAGCCAACATCGCATACATGTCATTGACCAGGCCACCCGCCCTAGGAGGGCAAAGGAAAGCGGAGGCGGCGAAGGCTTGCAGCTCAGACGGCGCAAAGAAGCTTGCACCGGTAACCATATCAGCAGCATGGCTTCTTGGGGTTTACCATTGAGGGCTTAGGCTTTGAGGTTGCCCTGGTAGGGGCCCTCCGGACCGAAACGGTGGACTCAGTTTGGATCTCATGTGAAGTCCTAGGGGCTCTCTGTACCTCGCAGCTTGCCTCAGGGCTTAGGCCTTCCCTTTGTAATTAAACCGTTTCATGGCTTCACACAGAGTCTGCCTGCGGCATCAAAACAAGATTGGGGGCGGCAAGCTCATGTCTAGTATGACTGACAGGCGCATTTTTATGCAAGACTGTCTGGCGCGGAGGTTGTCAGCCGTGACTGGCCAGAGTCCACTGGCATTCAACATGCGTCTTGGCGCCAAGGCCCTTGCAACCAAAGAAACCTCGAACTCTAGGACTCTGGGCCTTATGACCGTGGCTCACAGATCCCCAGTCCCAGGCGAAGGTGACTTCTTCCAAGAGTTGGAGCCCAGGTCCAGCTGACAGAGGGGAAAGCTTCATAGCGCTGAAGACTGGCACTCGTCATGCTCGAAACAAAAACTCAGGGATTCGGTACGCTAGCCCAGAAAAGATTAACCTTCAAATTCTGTTGATGACAGTGTAGCGTGTCGAAAAAGGTCGCATGCTGCCTAAACCCTAAACCCGAAACCCAGCCACTCAGGCTCTGAAAGCAGTCGGGCGGCACAAACCAATCTGGAGGTCTGAGAGAAATGTTCCTGGAGCAGGCAGGCTGCAGCGAGATCCACGTACGTCGTTTCTTAGCAGCCATCGACAATGAACTTTGCTTTTCTTGGAAAAGGCCGGTAACTTGGGGTCAACATCTCAGCAACCCAGGTGCAGGTATCCTCATGCCGGGATTGGCAAGGTCATCTTGACTGCTAAATTCCGGGGCACCGGTTCAACTTCAACTCTGAAGATGGACCACACCGTGAACACAGCAGGCGCACCATAGGATCACAGCCGCATTGAGAATCATGGCCACCTAAGCTGCGACGCAAGGACAGCAATGAGTAGCAGTATCAACTTCACTCTAAGAGGTGGTCCTTGAGCCCTCCAGGATAGATAATGAACCGCCTTTCATCCTAAAGCCTGAACGGGGCGTCTCTAGGATGCGACTGCTGAAGATAGTACCGGCGTCAGTGAGCAGACACTCAAACACACACGTACGTGATCGTTTTCCCTGGTCATGTCGGACTATGTTTCATGGTCGCTGATCCGAGCCCTCCCTTCCGAAGCTCGACCATTTTCGAAGCTCATTTGCCTGTAACCCCGCGCACGCACAACTGGGAATGCAGCCGTCATGTAGTAGTTGATCGCTGCTGCCTCGCCTGTCCTGGGAGGAGCAAAGGAACTGACCAGAGGGCGCGCGGGTTCAGGGTTAAAGTTTAGGGGGTTTAAAATTTCGACTCACACACTCGCGCAATTGAATATTTAAGGTAAACCCACCGTATATCGTGCTTCTAAGTCAAGAAGACGACGACCACTGCTTGAGGGATCTTGCGGGAAGCAGCACCGCTCAGGACCCAACTCTTGGGAATCGGCCCGGATCTCACAGCAACAGCTTGACCGCCCAGGGGGGTACGTAACAGATGGTGCCTCTAAGATGAAAAAATAGCAAGGTCCCTCCCTCGGCGAGACTCCAGGACTCCTTATCAACCTATGTCCCAAACAGTTTATCAACAACCCATAAAACGATAAAAACGCAAAGTTAACCTAAACCATGCATTTGCACTGGGTCGCCGTACGAAAGCTTTGCTGTGGAACCAAGCCCACTACACCCGTGTCTGGCTCTGCAACTATACTCCTCCCCCCCCCTCCGCCGGAGTCCGAGGTGGACACTTGGTGAGATGCACCTCCCGCTCGCCGAACCATCTGGGAGTGGGGACTTAAGGTCCTGGCTTTGCTTTCCATATGCTTCTATAGTGGGTTTATAAAGTGGTATAAAGTGGCTAAGGCAAGGAGCAGGGTCCAAGGCTTTCGGATTTTGGCTCTGAGCAGCTGGAAACGAAGGTTGCGCATGCGGTACACCAGAGACCTCCATCTCTGCTTGCTTAGGGGAGGCTGAAACCGAAGCAAGGAGCAATCATACCAAAAAAATGGCCTTGCAAGCGAGAGTGATCCGGCAGCAAGCGCCAGAGCAGCTGTTCCGACACTCTGCCCCGAAGCAGCGACTCTCAGCTCTTGGCGCGCTTGCGCCCTCTAAACTTCACTACCACATTCCCGGAACAGAGGGGGCCACCTGGCCGCGACCATCAGGAGCACGTTGATGATCGTGATCTTGGCACGCGTGGCAATGTCGGGACTTGTCTTTCTGGGTGTTCAACATAGCATGCTGGAAGCCATGTGCCGCTTGCAAAGGCACACGCCGCAGTCGCCGGGATGAGGGAGTTCATGGTCAAGGAGACGAGATACTGGCCACGAGTGTGCAGTGCTTCAGGATGTGCCTACTAGCATGGGGTTCAGAGAGTTGCTAGAAACTCGGTGTCAGATCGGGGCTGTGGGATGGGACCAGCATCGTTTATACCTGTGGGCCGGTATTGCTCTGCGCATCGGCGCTTCCAGGAAGCCCTCCACCCCCCAAACAGCTGAAACAGCTGAAGTATCAGCTGCGGAGCCTCTGCAGAATCAGGGCTGACGGCTTTGAGGGTTGAAAACTGGCTACCCCCATCGGCTCGCCTCCCTGTTCATCTGAGGGGTCACTCTGCGTGCCTCCGGAAACCAGCGGTGAGAGCAGCAAAAGCTTCAACACCAAATTGCGGCGCACTTGCAAAAACTGTTTGCGGTTTAGCACGTTTAGGGTCCGCTGCCTCTCAACCAGCGACTAAAGCGTCTATTGCCTGGACAACTCTGAGTTCAATGGGGTGGTCCAGGGAGTCAAGGGCTGCACAAACGATCTCGAAACTTGGGTGCCTATTCGCGTATGCAAACAGACTAGCTTGCCCCTGCAAACGTGGCCTCGCACCAACTAACAGAAGAGCATAGAAGCGTGACCGAGTCTGAACGGCACTTGACTGACAAGTTGCGATTCATACGCATTGATGCAACCCCGAGTCACCCTGCACTAGGCAATGAAAGCCCCGACACCTTACCAAGAGTCCTGCGCAAGCTACTAAACGAATTTGATGTTTGAAGCAACGCCGCTTTATGTTGATGCTTTCTTTATCCAACTTTACGGCAGCATCCGAATTTAGAAGTGAGTCCGGGCAGACTATCGGCTGGCGCTTTGCTTTTCCTCGCTCACGTGTCTGTGGCGCTTCAGCTGCACACTGAAAGCTCGAAAAAACAGACTGCCTATCGAAAACCAAAGCCCTGAGCCCCCAAACCACTGTGAGACGGCTTCTCTGCAACTCAGTTTGCCAGCTCGTTTCCTCGATGCAGAACGAAGCGAAAGCGGCTCACTGAACCATGTTAGTGTTGTTGTTACCTTTGATGAGTCGGTTATCGCTGGATTGACAACCATGTATTAAATATTAACAAGGTCTTGGCAAGCAGTATAGGCTAGAGGCGAGCTAAGCTGCTGGCTTAGTCATTTGTCTCGGCTTTTGGTCAGCACGCACGACCGCGACCACGACCACGACAACCAATACGAAATAATACTAGCCCCGCCACTGCACTCCCACACTCACTGCCACTAACACTACTGAGGACTGCGGAACATTAAAGCATGAGCATGACCCAAAGTATTAAAAGCTTTTCGCGGAAATGATACTTAGCCCAAGGCGGGGCCAAATGGACAAGATACTAGGAGTAGTAGGAGTAGTAGTAGTGGTGGTAGTAGTAGTAGCAGCAGCAGCAGCAGCAGTAGTAGAGTAGTAGCAGTAGCAGCAGTGGTGGTGGTGGTGGTGGTGGTGTGACCCACTTGGCATGCTAGGGACCTCACTGCGGGGTCTTGACTAGCAACTGGACTCGGAGACAAAACGATCAAGCGCCTAGTCAAAAAGGAAATAAATCAAGCAGAAGTAACCACCAGTAGTAGTAGAAGTAGCAGTAGCAGTAGCAGCAGCAGCAGCAGCAGCAGCAGCCGCAGCAGCAGCAGCAGCAGCAGCAGCAGCAGCTCATGGTCATAGTACGGTAGTACAAGTACACCAAGAAGCGAAACACACCGGTCGAGCCACGAACCCAAAGAGCTACACCACCACCAGCACCTCTGGCCGCAGCAATCTTCTCGTCCTTGTTCGGGAGATCGGCAGGGGTCTCGGGATATCTGAACCTATGGGAATGCTGGGGGAAGCTGAGTATCCAATGCGAACCACGACGATCGAAGTGGACGTGCCGATCACACTCCAGCGGTAACTTTGCATTCCCCTGCAAGTTTTTGTGCTCCTGACGACTAAGTTTGGTGCACCGAGATCTCGTTGTCGTCGGGAGATAGTTGGCTTCACATTCGGGTTTCGGCAGCCCTTTTGCAGCACCCCAGCTTATGAATATCAATACGACCTGCGCTTTCCAGCAACTAGGAATACAACACAGGCATACCTCTACTAGAAACTGTGCCGTGGCGAGGGCGCTGGTTCAAGCAAAACTCACCCGACAACCTGCCACCTCCAAAACATCCTTCCGGGAGTAGTTCAATTTCGGGCGGTCAACACACTGGGGTCAATCCTTGACCGACCTAAGACGGGTTACAACACTCTCCCAGCTGCTCAGCTGCTCCTAAGCCTTTCCTCATGGTCTGCAATGGCGATCGCTCTATCTTGCTCGTTGCGCTTTTGCTGGCACTGCTCCTGCTTTTTCATCCACGACAATCAATCACCATCATCATCATCACCACCATCATCCTCATTATATTCTCATCCTCACCATCATCCGCGTCCTACCCTCATCAGCACCAACGACAGCGACAGCAACAACATCGTAAGGCCAGCGTCTGTCCACAGTACTCCTGCATACTCTCGCCATTGTTAGAAGAAGTGCTGCCTGAGTGCTATCACGATCGC